GTAGGGTGAGTGGCGCGATCTTGTAGTCTTGTTAGTGACCAAGGCCGACATTCCTTAAACACACCTGTTAATTAATAGCGCATAATGGCAACTAAGGGACCTACAGTTTATTGTGGAATCCGAACCACATTTTTCCTTGGTATATACGAATTAATTGGTCTAATTATCAGGATAGTACTGCGGTTTACTTTCAACAAAACAACAGGATGGCGCTATCTTCATCTTGTCTCTAATTTGACGAGTCCCATCAATCAATCACACGGCCAACCTAACAACACGAAACTCTTAAAAACATCCAGCAAAAACAGTGGTACGTTTTTTTAACACAAAGTTTTTACTCCAGCTATTATTTTAGCTCATTGGAATGTATGCGTTTGAACCATGGCCACCAACTCCAGGCCGTGGTCTTGGAGAACTGGCAACGTCGCAAGTAGGGTTTATTCACGGCCGCCTTTAACTACAGGCCGCGGCCTGGTAGAATTGGCAACGTCGCAAGTGGTGTTGTTCAGAGACAGACGTCCCATAAGATAACATGGCAGACAGGTGACATCAGCTCATTAATTCGCACTCTATTCATTTAAATTTCAATTTATGAACATAAATTTATTAAAAAATTGAAAATAAAATATACAGAATTAATTGAAAACCGAAACAATATGAATTAAAATCTATATCTGGACATTTTTTAAAGGAGTCAATATTGTCATAGTCCAATAACCAATCTTTCGTAAATACACAAATGCCATTAGCTGCTTCCAAACAAAAACAGCTGTTAAAACACCAATTGCGACGTTGCCAGTTCGAAGGCCACGGCCTGTAGTTAAAGGCGGCCGTGGTTGATTAGTGTCAGGCTCAGACGTCCAATAAAGATAACATGGCAGACAGGTGACATCAGTTCATTAATTTGCACTTAATTGATTTTAATTTATGGACAAAAATTTATTAAAATATTGAAAATAAAACATACAGAATTGAAAACCAAAACATGAATTGAAATTCTACATCTTTACACTTAAAGCGGAGTCACAGTCAACATTTTCATAGTCCAGTAACCAAGCTTTCGTAAATAAACAAATACCATTAGCTGCATCCAAACAAAACAGCTGTTACAACACTACTTGCGACGTTGCCCCTATTGCATTGCCACATCTGTACTGCAGTTGGAGTACTCCAGTCACTTAAGACCTTTCAGAAAAATCGCTTCATTATAGCAATGTAAATAGTTATTTGTGCAACTAGTGAGAAAAGTGAGCAATTGACTCACTCGAGAGAAATCCTTACTCACGAGCCGTAGGCGAGTGAGGAATGGTTTCTCGAGTGAGGCAATTGTACTTTGAACTCGAGTTGCACATTATACTTTTCCTACAGTTACCATAAAACAAATAAATTTGTGAAGAAACATAACCTATTTTTACACAGAAGATATCTTTTAATATAACATTTAATGTGAAGTGACAAAATACAACAGTACAACAGCTGACCAGCTGAATTACAGCCAGTGCTGCCAACGTATTTCGCGCGCATACGACGTAGCCTGCATGTTACGCGCTCACTATTTCGTGCCTCCACGTTGCAAATCTGGAGTGAGACAAAGTAATTAGAGTGAGACACTCACTGATGAGCGAATTGGCCACTTTGCTTTCTCAAATCAGCGAGAGAACATGTACATTGTTAGGTAACTGTAGGAAAAATATTTTTTTCAAATTTTCGTCTTTTACCTAGGCCATTTTACAGTAGTTCCACTTTATGTATCTCAATAAAAATACCAAAAACTATAGTTTGTACCCACACAACACAAGAACACCTTGGAATGTCCTGGGGATATCCTCTGTATATCCCGCAATGTCCTCAGGATATCCTGGGAAACTCCCTGGGATATCCCTATGTCCACCCAAATCCTGATCCCTGGAATATCCCATCAGGATATTATACATAAAAAAACAAAATAATAAATATTTAGTCTGAAAAGCACTTTTGCCAGTCAAGTATTTTAATTAAATAGCTCATAAAAACAAATTTTGGGAAAAAATAGAAACAAAAATATTTTTGCCCAGTCAAAAAGAACCGGGTACCTTTGACTTATGAAACTCTTCTTATCATCTGAGCTATTTGTGACTGTTGATATTACTAGTTTTCAAGTGGTTAAAGAGGAGCCGACAGCTGAAATGGTCGCAATACTTAAATATATTTTTGATACTATGATTCTGTTTAGGCATCAAGTTGTTAAATTGTTTTTCTGGGAGTTGTAGAGGATCGATACTTTAATAAGAATATAGATTATAATTGTTATATGATTAATTAATATTTCCCCTTAAATTTTCAACCAATAAATTTTCTCAAATAACTTAGAATTTAAATTAGAAAGAAAATATTTGCATTATTATTATTATTGTAAGCAGGTGTATTATTATTATTATAAAATGGTAAAAATTTAGAGTTTGATAGTTATTATGCCCCACGGGGAATATCCTACGGATCTCCAAAGGATGTCCTATGGATATGATCGAAAAACATGATTAATTTTTATAAATCATTAGTAACGTTATTAGTTATTTTAATTCAAAAGAGTATTGAAAACCTTTTTAATAACGTTTCTCAAGCACTTGTCACTTGAAAAAATACATCCAATACTATAAAATATGTTTTAATATAGGTAGCCTATCGAGAATATCCATAGGAAGTCCCCAGGATATCCTCAAAATGCATTCGTTTGTGTTGGATATGTGCAATATCCTAGAGTGATCCCAGGGACATTCTCAAATCCTGGGATCTATGTGGGATATGTGGGATATGGTCAGGATCCTGTGCTGTGTGGGAAAGCTGTATTCGGTAGCATATTTCGAGAAGTACCGGTACTTACTTGAGTTATTAATGGATTTTACAAATAAATTATGAAAAAAGGATATTGTGGATATTCTAGGGATATGCCAAAGATATTCCTGTCCCTCGATCAAAAACCCTAAAAAAATTAGATTAATTATTGTAACGGGAATATTCCTATATCTCATGGGATATTGGGACGTTTTGGGAACTCTGTGGGATATCCTGTGCTATGTGGGTAGTCATGCTATGTTGTTTTTAGGAAAACCACTTAATATTTATACTATCCACCAACAATGTAAGTTAAAGGACACTTTTTCCCTTTTAAAAATTATACTGGATTTAAACTTAACTTAAAAACAAACACCTCATATTCCTATTAGTGTAAATGGTAAAAAGTAATAAGGTACCATTAAAGCAACCAATGATATGGTCTACCAGCCTTTGATGCTTGGTAGTGGGATAGAAATTAAAATCAATGTTAAAGCAATAAAATATTGAAGTAAGGGTTGTTTTCCCTATTAGACAGCGTGATGTGGTCACTGAACATATCTCGTCACCGCTGTAGTTTCACAGCCATGTTAACAATGGTATTCTGATTCTCATTTGGGGTAATATTTCCACATGCTGTAGAATATATATTTACACACCAGAAATAGGCTTTGAGGGTAATGAAATTAGAGATGAATTTGTGCCAATGTCATGGCATCTTGGAACATCTATTTAATGCATAAATGTTAAAAGTCCTTAAAGAGCCCCATTGGCGCCAATCCCAATCTTCAATTGTATATCTTAAGCCATCAGAAGCATAGAAGTTGCCAAGTTGAAATCGTCAAAGCTGTGGGCCAAACTTCAGAATAGGCCTATAATATGCACTAAATTAATTGGATGGTGTACAACTAAGGGTCTCAATCCCGGGATTCGTCTCAGCCGATCCCGGGATCAATCCCGTGATTATATAATATTATGATTTTTAACTTTTTAGCTATTTTAAATGAGCGAGAAGTAACACCCCAAGCGCGAGAGTTGGGGTGAGTTGAGTACTTTAATGTTTTAAACTGGCCTTACCAGTGTTACACTGTGCAATAATTCCGTTTTCTAAGTAAATAAATATTACCACATGGAACTTTCATTGCGCGTATTTCTTATTTAGTGTTTAAATGTTTATATGTCACTCTAGGATATTATAAATACATTTTAAAAAATCACGTGCAACTGTGCTCGCACGTAGCCTATACGTCACGCTAATAGATAGATTAAAGATAGCTAAAAAATGGGAAGAATCACGAGTAGCAGCGTAAAAATGTTATTTTGACTGACAGCAATAAAACAATAAACCATCTGCTTATGTTGTATAGCGTGTGTATGAAAAACGTAATTTAGGATTATAAGAAATTTAAATAACCACACTAATAACCGAATACGAAGATAGAGTTATAGACCCTAAATATAAGCAATCTTAATAATGAGATTATAATTGTGTGTTTATAGTTATATTTTATGGCTTCAACGAAAATAATACTTCAATTTCCGATTGCAATGTTATGTTTGCTACACGAATTGCGTCGTTTACGTTTAATGTCAAAAGTAAAACTCTAAATAACTGATAGGCCTACTGTAATTAAGTTCTAACTAATGTAATATCATTTACGGAAAGTAAATCCAAATCGTCTAAAAACTTAATAATATATTTACATTCGTTCGCCTATTGAGTTTAATGATAATTAAATTTTCCAATCAAAATAGATCATTACTTATACCATTTCATATATTTATCGTCCTAAAAATAAAGAGTATACGTGCTTCAAGTGTTATTGGACATATTTTTATTTATTTTCTGTAAGTAAAAGTCCTCAAATTCACAAAAAATAAATATAAACAAAGGTGTTGCAATCCCGTTAATCCCGGGATTAAAAGTCATTAATCCCGGGATTTAAATCAGTTGAAATGAAACTGAAATGAGAAAAGAGTTGGATTAAAAATTAAAATATGAGAAAGGAATGAAAAAAAAACACTTTAAAAAAGCCAGCATGCGCTGACAACAGGACTATATTATACATACACATTAACAAAAGTGGGATAAAATCTGACCTACATTTACAAGAATGTAATAAAATGGAATTATGTACATAAAAATACTCTTAAGTGTCACATTATGGACTCTAGTCTTCAAACTTAATAGAATTTACACCAACGTCGATCTGGCCTCCGCGGTAGCTTCCTCTTTTCTTTTTTGTTTTTTCATGCCTAAAGGACTTCCCTCTTGTAAACTTGAGATCTTTGGCGGCCTTCTCGCCCCAGCATCCTCTAGCATTTCTCTGAAAATAAACATTAGCATATAAAACTTGATTGAATCTAAGAATGCATTAACATTGATTTAACAAAGAAAACAAAAATTGCAATAGTCAGAGAAGTATGGGTCAGAGGAATCATTCAAGCGGGAGACGATGATAATTTCTCTGCGAAAGCAGAAGATTTTTTGGATTTCGCCTTGAAAACAAAAAATTTTTACGATTTCACAATGACCGTGAGAGAGAATGTACGATATTGTAGAGATGTGTCAAAGCCAACATTTATTAATCCTCGATAACTATGCTCTTATTTTTTAACTTATTTATTTTACAGATAAATATAAAATACCTTCACTGCAGCAAACCTGCACACTAAGTGAATTTCCATTTAACTGGCTAGAATTCCACTACATTATTCCCTTAAAATTGTTAGATTTATGTCATATTTAAATATCATTAATTTTAATGAGTACTTAGGTTTGCTGCTACAGGGAAGACAATAAGGTGTGTTTTTATTATAAAGTAAGCAAATTTTCCAAATTTCATTAAAATATGTCCATGTTAGCCTGCGTAATGATTTTGTCAATTGAAAGATAAAATATCCATAAAAAAGGTTTTAACTTACGAAATAAGACTTTGGATTAGTTACAAGTTTAATATGAAACCATTAACAGTTTTATGGCAGTAGGCAATGTCCAACGGCAAATGGAATCTTCAAGATGATGAAGTACAAGAAGTTAAATTTATAAAACTATTATTTCCATGTTAAAATAGGTTAGGATATAATAATAATTACCCTAGTAATAAAAAAAGAAGTTGTAAAGGAATAAAAGTGATACAACTTTTATAAGCTAAGCTACAGAGTCAACGAGTTCTAGGAAGTACTTGACTTGACACTTGATTGTCTTAGTAAAATATTAGTAGGTTTGCTAGAAGTTGCTCTTAAAAATTAGAGCAACCATTGGAAGGTTTTATTGAGGAAAACTAAAAGTTGCTTTTCCCTAATTTAGAGCAACAAGTGGAAAACGCCCAACGTCAAGTCTGGGGCGGGAGAAGGATCTCCACGAATTTTGTACAAGTTGCTTTTATTTTATTTTGCACGCTACAAAACAGAATACAAATCCCATTTACATTGCAGCACTATCCTAATTTAAAAAAAAAAAAAAAAAAAATTGAGAAGAAAAATTGAGATTTTGCAAAGGTCCCATCTTCCACTTTAGTTGTCAACTTTCTTTGGTGTTAACATGGCTTTAAGATGAAGTTTCAACTATTGTTCTTGTCAAAAATTTACAAACTGCACAGATACCACCAAAAACTACTTGTATAATCAAGATTGACTCTTTTACCTCATTCTTCAATCATCAAATTTGATTTTCTTATTTTGCTGAGGCTCTCCTCCTCCGCTATTGCTGCCAAAAGAATCCCTCTTATTGAATCCTCCGCCTCCTCTATTTCCTCCCCACCCTCTTCCTCCCCTGTCACCTCCCCTACCCCTTCCACCTCTATCTCCTCCCCTTCCTCTGCCACCCCTGTCACCTCCTCGGCCCCATCCTCTTCCCCCCCTGTCACCTCCACCTCCCCAACTCTTCCTGAAGCCTCCTCCCTCTCCACCTTCACCCTCTCCGTCTTGTTTGTCTCCCCAACTTTTCCTAAATCCGCCTCTACCTCCTCTGTCAAATCCTCCACGCCCTCCTCTATCAAACCCTCCGCGGCCTCCTCTATCAAACCCTCCGCGGCCTCCCCGACCGCCTCTGTCAAATCCCCCTCTACCACCCCTGTCTCTCCCCCGGCCTCTAAATCCCCCTGGACCCCCTTGACCCAGTGATCCCTCTCGGCCTCCCCTGAAGCTTGTTTCATTGCTCTTCTCTGTGCCATCTTCATCACCATTTTTATCTCCCTAAAATATAACAAAAACGTTACTGACTGACCATCAACAAATATGAAATATAGGCTCTGGTTTATGGTCTCCGCAATTTATGTTTCACATCTAGAACTACTATAAATTTTATAAAAGTCTAGAAGGGTAAAAAGATTTTTCAGGACTATGGATTGGCTGAAATCTAAATGTGTATGTAAGTAACAAACTACAATAATTTTTTTCCGCTCCATCGGATAGAACCCATATTTTCACGTCTGCATTGGCCAGTCAGCTGACTTAAGGTCAGTCTGCTTACCTTTGCCTCAAAACTATTGTCAGCCAATCTCGGATCCACCTCAATCTGATCACTTTTCACACGTCGAAAAGGCTCTGATACTCTACGTTTCTTCTCTGCCGGCTCACCAATATTCTATAATTATTGTAGTTTGTTATTTAAAGATAACTTGTATAATTTTAAAAGGATTACTGAAATAACTAGACCCATAAACCTAAATTAAGAAAAATTATTAATTTTTACAAAGACACGTAAATAAGTGGAATATAATGGATAAAGACATAAATTTTGTAGTAAAGCAAAACTAAGGTTCAGTTGAACCTAACTCCTACTTATACCTTGAACTTCTTTGCTCTAGCGTTGGCAAAACATCTATTCAAATAAATTACATTACATAAATTACACATGCCAGTTTTGTATATATATTTTGTTTTTAAAGCTTAACATTTAAAAACAAAATATTATATATACAAAACTGGCATTTGTAATGTTTGACTTTTAAGTCCTGTGACCAATAAGGGTGCAGTAATTTTAGAAAATTTATATTTCTCTTCAGTAAAGAAACAAGAATATAACAGATAACTTACATCTCCTTCAAAGCCGTCACTAGCTTTTACAAAATTCTTGTACTTGTTTTTCTCGTTGACATTTTTCTGAAAAAAGAAAAACATTATGTTTGATCTAAGAATCATGAAAAGTTACAATATTCCACCTGTCCTATCAGTTCTGTCAAACACAATAATGTGTTCTGTCTGTAATGCTTGTGTGCTTGTGCCGGCAGATGGGAAATGTAACTGTACCCGGACAAATTTGGGCCAGCCTTCAGATTTGATAAGCTGAAACAATATCCCTGCTATAAAACTTCAGTCATCTAACCATTTGTTAGGTCATTTGCTCCAAAATATAAAGTGGTGACTAGTACTTACAATTCATGTTTACAGATATGATTTACGGAAAGTAAATAAAAGAAACGTCTTATAACACTTAAAACATATATTTAGACGGTCTGATGATGATTGGAGTGTCCAATCGAAATCAATCACCACTTACCATCTTTTATGTATATTTACCGTCTTGTGAGTAACAGTATAAGCGTAAATATACGTTTTAAGACGTTATATAATATAATTATAATAATATAATACAGTCTAACCTTGATATAACGAACCTCGATACAACGAATTCCTTGATATAACGATTTTTTTTAAATCCCCTAGAACTCTCCATAAGACACAATGTATATTTTACCTCTACATAACGAACAAACCATAACAACGACCTTGATTTAACGAATTTTTCGTGATTTCGGCTAAAATAAGACACCTCAATATAGCGAATTTATCATTGTCAGAACCTCTACATTGCGAATTTCACCTCTGCATAACGAACTGTCTACGTCTTTCCCTCGATATAACAAATCCCCCACCCCATTATTGTTTTTGAAAAATCTGTTTCTTTATCAAATGAAATGGAAAGGTGACGTCATCGCTTGCGCTAACATTCGTCTGCTCCGTTTTACACATCGCTGTCTGCTGTCGCTGCGCGCGCTATGTTGCAACTGAGAACTGATTTTATTCACTGAGGACTGATGACGACGTAATGTTTTAGTAAGCTGTGATTGGGCGATAAGTAACTATGGTGAATTGTACAATTTTTGGATAAAGAGAAACCTAAGAAAGAATATAAAAACAAAACCAAAGAGAAAGAATAGCAACATCGTTATTTTAACATTCCTTTTTCGAGTGTTTTTATTATCTTTAAATGACTTATCTAATAATTTACTGTATTGTTTTCAATACGATTTGTTTCAACTAGCAACACCAATGCTATAGTTGATGATTATTATTGACATTCCTGTCCTCTGTTGTGATAAATCAGTACCGGTACTGTACTGTAAGTAGCCTACTGGCCTATCACGAGCAGTAGCTTACAAAACTTTCTACATACTACTGTTTTGTTTTATTCTTTACATGATTTATGACTATGACATGACTACGCAATACAGTGTTTGGCTAGGTTTTAGGAGGGTTAGAACAAGCTGTGATTTTAAACTTACAGTTTCTTAACCTGTACCAAGGTCAATGCCATTGTCATGATTGCGCAATATTCAAGATCCCTCCCCTTTATTATGCCGGATAATTTAGGTTCTTCTGTACAATGTAAACACTGTACTGTAAAGTATAGTAGCCTATGCTACTTTAATTGTGTTTTAATGATGACTAATCCCGACCTATATTGACCGACGCTGGTTCTGAACCTCGTCTTAGCGAAATTCCTGCAAACATAACCTCTATATAACGAACCTCGTTTTTACGAAATCCTTGATATAACGAATATTCAGTTCGGTCCCTTCAGATTCGTTATACTGAGGTTGGACTGTATATTAACAGTGTTATAAGACGTTTCTGTATTTACTTTCCATAAATTTAATAACACGTACATGTACAATGCTGACCAAGAAGTTATTTAGATATGATTTCACAAATTGAATACATTTATGATTTTGTTTTGTGTTACCAACTTGTGTGGGCTACACGTTAAAAAACACTATTGATAAGCAACCAAACAAAGTTAGCCTACTGCTTCATTCATAATGATGGCTCTGTGATGCCAAAACATAGTTATGCAGGTTATGCTTAAGTAATTTATGACATACTAGTTTCTGGAATAATGGCTTGTGTGGATCTAAATATTAATATTTTGGTACTAAATACCTTGAAAGGAACCACCGCCGTTGAGTCGTTGTCATCTTCTCGCTTCCGTTTAAGATTTTGAGGGGTCTTTGTGGCTGGTGTTTCATCTTCACTGGAGGAGTCCTCAGACGAACTTTCTGGTTTTTTAGGAGCTGCAGCAGCAATAGGCTTCTTAACTGGAATAACAAAGAAATGTTCAGAAGAGTAGGACCAATACTATAAATATACCTACAAAACTTCGTGGTTCAAAAGTTAATCTGAAGTAAAGGAATCAGATCTCAAAATTTAAGTATCGATGGGTCTTTATTTTTATTTTTTTTTTTTTAAATATTATCCCCATCATTGGAGCAGAGCCGGTGGGATTTGTTCTGAACATCAGCGTTTCGCTACGTCGAGAGCAATCACAGGAAACATAGCCGGTATGGCGGGTGAAGATAGGTCTGACATGATTGCAGTAGATCTTCACGATTATGATTGCAGAAAATTATCACAACGGTGCCGCAATCAAGCTTGCTATGTTGACTATGGTGCAGCCAACACAGAACATACTCTTGATGGAGCCAGACAATGATGTCGTGAATGCAGGACATGTTATCTAGGATACTGTTAGTTTAATGACGTTCATCCATTGCATGTAATGTACATAGCGCTTACGATGAATACAAATTCTTATTTCTTGTTAATGTTGGCACAGTGAATGCAGAACATACGATGGCACCGTGAATGCGAAACATGTTCACAACGGCGCTGCGATTGCATAAAACCCGCATCCAATTCCGACCCCGAAAATCAGGAAGGAAATAAAAATCCTAGCCATCCATTAATCTGAGCATAATTTGCTAGATTGTATACATTGTATTTGCAATTGAGAACCCTACCTACATGAGTTACGTTGTTAGTTATCCGAACACACACATCACATATTGAAATATCAAGGAAGATTGGATGTTTAAATAAAAATTATACATAAGAAACCAGACTATAAATGGATAAGTAAAAGATTAACTTGGTTGGGTTATGTGTAAAAAAATACAAACTCTAACTCAATTGACCAATAAGGTGTAGAAAGGAAAATAAGTAAAAACCATATCTAGGAAGACACACAATTCATAAGTGAAAAAGACCATAGAAAGCTTGGCTTGGCAGTAGAAATAGCAAAAGACAAATAATGAAGTCAATAAGTTGGTATGACCAACAACCAACTTGGCTGTTAGGAGTAAGTATGGTGAATTAATAGTAAAATCCCTTCAATATGACCATTATTATTATTAAGGATCTGAATAAATGTCTGACAGGCCAATATGGCAGTTTGAAAGGATGTCAATAATATAATGTCTTACCAGGTTTCTCATCTTCTGAGCTATCACTGTCTGATGATTCTGCTTTCTTCTGGGCAGGTTTAGGAGTTGCCTGCTGTTTCTGTCCTAACTTTGGAGGTAGTTTTATGGCGGGTTTTTCGTCTTCATCACCTGATACAGCAAAATAGTTCTATCACTATACACTCAGATTATAAAATTGACTCATGTTTATGTACATGTAATCTCAACACCACAAAACGGCAATGAAACCATTCACTTAACAAATATCATATCTTACCCAAGTAAATTCAAATCATAACTGACATATCAACATTTACATGATTAATCTCCTTTAATTTAAGGCCTATTTTTGATTTTTGTCAATCCTTGTAGCCTACAACATTTGAGGCCACTAGAGTTTTGCTAACGGCCTTGAAAATTATTCAATATATCATATCAATTTGAAAAATTACTTGAATCATCTTCAGAACTTGACGGTTTCTTGGCAGGCGTTTGTTTAGCAGCAGGTTTTGCTGCGGCTTTTGGAGGTTCTTCCGAGTCTGAGGAGTCACTGTCGCTGTCGTCCTTCTTTGCAGCCGCAGGCTTAGCTGGAGTTACAGCTTTCCCTTTGGCAGCTTTTGTTTGAACTGGAAAGACAACAACAACTTTTAAAGGCTATTTATTATTTTTAGAAGAAGTTGAGCTGCCTCTTTTTCTGTTGCAATTGTCCGTTTTACATGGGACCCACCTTGTGCTTGGAACATCTCTATCAGAGCAAGGGATCTGAGCCGGTACAGCATAAGAGTGAACTTAACTGACAAAATAAAGTGGCAGGTTAATGACTGAAGTCTACGCTGCTACAGATTTGTATTCGTTGACCACAGACTGAGCCAGTGGCTCACCAATTATTTAGTGTGTGTTTTGTAAAGGAGTATCATATTATGAATAAAACCTCAAGTGGTCTATATGCTTTGAGGAGACTGGTGTATTCCTGTAATATTAAAACCTTACAATCCATATATTTTGCTCTAATACATTCACATATTGCTTATGGTGTTTGTATATATGGATCAACAACAAAGAAGACCATGGATCAAATTCTGATTCAGCAAAAAAGAGCTTTAAGAATAATGTTTCATTTAAAATCAAATGATTCTGTAAAACATATTTTTAAAGATTTATAAATATTCACAGCTTACAGTTTATACATTTATGAAACAATAAAATTTTTAATTTACAATACTTGGCAATAGGATTTCGATTGGCAATACAACACATTCTTATAATACTAGAGCTCATCGTTTAGTAGAACAACATAATTTGGGATTTTTCAAAAAGAAAACAACATATATAGGAAATAGATTTTTTTATGGCCTCCCAGGAAATATTAAATTGGAAAAAAACCAAAATAAGATTTTGAGACTTTTGAAGGCATACTTGATTGAATCAACGTTTTACTCTCTCCAACATTTTTTCTTATAGTCAAAATTAATATAATTAGGACATAGTAATTACTGTATGTATATAATGATAATCCTTAATTTAAGTATTGCTTTTATTAATTTTTAAGATACAGTTGTAGTTATTTTATTTTATTTTTTCCATAATTTCTTGGAGTGATGTGTGTAACGTTTGTTGTATATATTATCCTAAGAGCTGAAAACTCAACTGTGGGATGTATTATTAGTTATTTAATATGTATAATTTAGGTTAGGTCTGACTATTCTTTGTAAACAATTTACATGTTACAGAATAAAGAAGTTTTGAATTGAATGAAAAAGTATTTAAACACAGAAAAAAATTAAATTGAAACATCAATTGAAGATGCTATCTAACAAGAGGTCGACTACACAAGGATTTGGACAGTTCCTTTACAAAATCGCTAACTATGCCAATAACATTGAAATAGGCCTATGTACTAACTAAAGCAAATACACTTGACTCCTTCTTATCCGGAAACATTTAACCGGACTACACTCAGCTTTAACCGGAAAATTTTTATCAGCACATTGGTTTAACCGGACTAGATCGGCAGGAAGTGGGCGGTACTGAAACGACTGTTCTCGTGGGAAAGATTTGAGACCAGTGATCACGTGTCTAAATACAATGCTCTCCTAAATTTAAGTCAAATGTTGTATACAGTATGAATTTAAACGGTCCGTTTTAACGAGTTTTTGGGGATGTTGATTTAACCGGAAGACCCGTCATCTGGACTACCCTCGGTCCCGAGGAGTCCGGATAAGAGGGAGTCTACTGTATACTTTTGACAAAACCTGCACCACAGTGACTGTATAGTTATGACAAAACCTGTACCACAGTGGCGAAACTCTGCTGCCAAAACAAGTGCTCGAGCATGATCAAAAGAGAATATGTTACAAGCTTGTCTTTCAAAACAGATTGAAAACATTTGTCCTTAAAACTTTGATAAAACCTTTTTAAATTCCAATCTAAGTAGGTTTGAGAGTCCTAAAATGAAGTTAATGGCAAGTATAAAAGATGATAAATAAAAGTGGATTGGCGAGGATGGAGAGGCCTAGCATATACGTAATTGTTAAGATCCGATGTATTTATTATCTGACTAAATTTTGAATCTATGTTAGGCCTATATACTTTTTCATTAACAAAATTATAATGTACGTTTTCAAACTTTTATTTTCCTCAATAACATTCAAAGCAAAATTTTTTTCCTCCTAGATATTTAGATCAACTTTTACAATTTAGCATCACTCGCAAGGGATAACAGTATTTGGCTAATGAATAATATTGAATGACAACAAGAAGAATCCTTAACTTAATACCAGACACATTATTCTTATTGTACTAAAACTTACATCTTGGTACAGGTAACCATGTTGACTTCAACCTACTCTTGAATCCTTTATGGTGGGCGTGAAAATGAGGTTTGGTCAGAATAGTACAGGTAAAATAGGGTTTTATAAACAACAAAATTTGTACATTCATGAAATTTCACCTGTGAGTTACTAATAATATGAGAAATGAAGATCCGATGAGTCCCCAAAATTTTGGGTGTCCTAAGGCCCTTTTTGTTCCGAAGGGCCCTTGTTCCGGAATAATTTTGTTTTTACGTTTAAGGTCGAGTGAGGTGTGGTTTTCGATGGTTTTAGTTATTTTAAATCGATTGGGACTAGTTTTAAGTGTATTTAACCACTCCATACAGGGTGTTTCGAAATATTATTACGTTTTACGATATTTAAACATTTATTCATAAAGTGATAAAATTAGTTACCTCCATGCTCTATATATAAGGGGATTATTGAAAAAAACTGTAATTCTTTACTATATAACAGGGAAGGATCACAAGGAGTAAGAGAAAATATAAATACCCCGTCACAGCAAACCTGCAGACTAAGTGAATTTTCATTTGCGCGATTTTCAATTACTGTAAATCTAAAATAGCATTGAGTTTAATGAATACTTAGGTTTGCTGCTACTAGGAGGCTAATAAAGTGTGTTTATAGTAAAATATTAATAGCCTAGTATAAAACAAATAAATTTGACAAGTTTGATCGAAATATATCTATTAACAAACAAACAAAATCATTTTACACTATTCTACATAAGAATAACATGGGCATTTTAAATTTACAATTTTAGTATTTTTATCCGTAACTAATAACCATACAAAAACACGTTAATATAAAAAATAATTTGTTTTTAAGCTATTTAAAATGTTCTAGAGAAAAATTGGGAAACTTTGTGTTTTGAGGGTAAAGTAAATAAGAAAACCCAATTTTTACCCCATAAACCTCGTTTCCATTGTTCAGGACAAAAATGCTTGTACCGACAATGCTGCTCTATGTCTTAGTGCTGTCCTGGTCGTCATAACCACGAAAGATAACCGTACTTGTATTGATTGAAAATAAGTTTGAGGAACTTAAGATACAAGTTGCAAACGTCAGTATGTATGAAAGGTGTTTTTGCACCACATTCTTCGTGCTTTAAGATTGGTGTTGCCTGTTCTGCAATATGCAAGGTCTTAGGTTTGTAAAGGGGAATCCTGCTTGAACACCAACTTGGACAAAATCAGTAGGTAAAGATGGACAAGTTGCTAAGAATAATAAAATTGTTAATGAGTCGTCTGAGAATAATTATTGTGATGATGAAATTGTAAAGAGAGATACTACGGAAATTGTAGAAAAATTGCTTTAGTTTAGGTACTTCATTTTAATATGTAATGTAAGGTTTTATACAAATACAATTATTTTAAATGAAAAAAAAAATAACTTAAATAAATACCTAAGAAATGTACATATCAATTTGAAATTGGTCTTAATAGATTTGCATAAAAAACACGTTGAAAGATTATTCACACCACCTTAAAAGTTAAAATTTTTGCTTAGTAGGCCTAACCTATGTTATCCATCCCCTTTTAGCGAACATCCCATACATATATATAATATAATATATCCATGTTATATACGTGTCCGTAAACATGATAACTCGAGTAATTTTGGTTCAATTTTAACGAAACCGGCATAATCGGTCCATGGAACAGGGTTTGATGTGGTAAAAATTTGTAATCTTTGACCCTCAAAAGACAAAGTTTCCCAATTTTTCTCTAGAACATTTTAAATAGCTTAAAGAAAATAAATAATTTAGTATATTAACGTGTTTTGTAAGTGTATTAGTTACGAATAAAATTCAAAAATTGTAAATTTAAAATTCCATGTTATTCTTAAGGAGAATAGTGTAAAATGCTTTTGTTTGTTTGTTTATAGATATGTCTTAATAAAACTTGTCAAATTTATTTGTTTTATACTAGGCTATTAATATTTTACTATAAACACACTTTATTAGCCTCCTTGTAGCAGCAAACCTAAGTATTCATTAAACTCAATGCTATTTTAGATTTAATTGAAAATCGGGCAAATGAAAATTCTCTTAGTCTGCAGGTTTGCTGTAATGGGGGTATAAAATATTTTCTCTTACTCCTTGTGATCCTCCCCTCTTATATAGTAAAGAATTACAGTTTTTTTCAATAATCCCCTTTCATATAGAGCATGGAAATAACAAATTTTATCACTTTATGAATAAATGTTTAAATATCGTAAAAAGTAATAATATTTCGAAACACCCTGTATGGAGTGGTTTAATACACTTAAAACTAGTCCCAATCAATTAAAAATAACTAAAACCACACCTCACTCGACCTTAAATGTAAAAACAAAATTATTCAGGAACAAGGGCCCTTCGGAACAAAAAGGGCCTTAGGACACCCAAAATTTTGGGGACTCATCGGATCTTCATTTCTCATATTATTAGTAACTCACAGGTGAAATTTCATGAATGTACAAATTTTGTTGTTTATATGGAGTGTTTTTGTATTATTTGACCTGTACTAGAAAGTCAGCAATATTTAATACAAACTGTTGTTGTAGACAGTTAATCTACAACTACCTTTAAATAATGTTAACCTACAAAAAGGTTAATCACAGAAATCTGAAAAAAATACTCTAGAAGCACAGAGCAAAAACAAAAAAAAACTATACAAATTATAAATACCTTTAGCTGGCTCCTCTTCGCTGCTAGAATCGTCCGAGCTGCTTTCTTTCTTAGCTGCTGGTTTTGGTTTTGCTGCAGCAGGTGTTGGTTTCTTAGCAACTTGAAGTGCAGGTTTCTTAGGCTCTTCCTCAGAATCACTATCACTTGAGTCACTTTCAGGTTGAGAAGGTTTTGCTGGTTGAGCCTAAAAATGTTATCTTTTGTAACATGTGTTGAGGAATGGAATTTCTCTTTCTTTTCCAAATATTTCCTCTAATACATCAGCGACAAACACTCTTTAAATAGTACCTGACGAGTTTAACTACACTTGAGTCATGCTAAATCCAAACTAACTCCCAACGCTGGATGGAACAGCTGATTGATTGGATTAGCCAAAATAATTTAAATACAGTTGGTCCTCGATTATCCGGGGTAATTGTGCAGGAGAGAGACCACGGTTTATGAGTACCACTAATCTAACAAGAATTTTTTTTTTTTATAAAAAACTATAAAAAATGTGTAAACAGACATTTTATTTAAATCTCTCATTTCTTCATCTTTACATTAATAAAAAACCGATATGACACGATCATAAATATTGCGTACCCATGCAGCCTAACCAAACTGAACAATAACTAGATAGCTAAACACTGTATAGAAATAAATCAATGTAGCCTAATGAAGAAAAAAGCTCTTGTAAGCTCCTGCCAGTCATAGGCTACAGAACCGTCCTGTTTCAGGACAACAGAGACGTGTGGATGATAATAACCAACTAGCATTATATTCATATGATTGAAAACCATAAAAACTTTAGATAACTCATACAAATAACACGCTATGAAGCAGTCAAAACTAATAAAATCCTTTGTGACATAGCTTTCAGCACACAGATGTGTAAGAAGTGGACGTCAGCGCAAGCGTTGACTCATCTTTGAGCTATTGATTGTTCTTTGTTCTGCTTCCACTTTATTTACTACATTAAATAAACTATCATGTATCCAAAGCAATAATGTCGGGCCTACTGCATTTATTAATTGGCCGAAATAGTTGAATATGAATATGCAACAAAATTATAAAATGACCAGGTCATTAAATTTTTTAAAATAGGCCTATACATTTTTTCATCAGGGCACAACATTTCTGGAACTTGTCTGGATTACTCGTATTCAGACTAGTGAAACTCAGGTGTTATACTTTTACAATTAATTCATTAAAAAAACATTTGTATGATTTTACTATAATTATTTCCCTAAACAGTCATTATGTACCCGTAGCATTACCTCATCTTTCAGTCCCGTCTTGAAACATTTTTCTCTCCTTCACAGATATCAGGGAGAAAGATTCATCATCATAAAGATTGAGGTAAACTTATATTAGCCTACTAATAAACATCCCTCAAACCTTTACCTACCCAAGATAAAAAAAAGTTCAGATAAATTTGATTTGAATTAAGACTATTAAAGAACATAGATACAGCAACAATTTTTGTTCAGATATCTAAGCAATGCCAAAAACACAATTAAAGGACTAATTCACAAATATAACTAAATAAAAGAGCTCGAATAAACATTGATATGGTATGCCATGCCTTCCCATAATATGCATTTTTAATATTATTGCACTATCAAAATTCATTAAATACCTTGACTGGTGGTTTGACAGGAACTTTTTGGGTGGGTTTACTGTCTTCTTCGCTGCTATCATCACTACTGCTCTCATCTTTCTTAGGGAAGGGTGTTTTACCAGGACTAGCAGGTTTTGGTTTTTGAGGTGGGGTCTTGGCAGGTGTTTTGGGCGCAGGTGTCTTCTCATCATCTGAGTCACTCTCTTCACTACTGCTTTCAGCTTTCTTTACGACTGGCTTTGCAGGTGTGGATTTAGCTGGGGTCGATTTCACTACGGCTTTCTGAGGTAATTTGGAAGCTGGTTTAGAATCTTCATCTGAACTACTTTCTTCACTACTGGATTCAGCCTTCTTTGCTTGGACGGATTTAGCAGGTTGCTGTTTGACAACAGCTTTGTTTTTGGTAACTGGAGGAGTGTCGGAATCACTATCGTCGCTGCTGCTGGCTTGTTTCTTAGCCACTGGAGTCTTGGGAGTGGTTGGTGGCTTCTGGGGGGTTTTTACGTTATTTTTTGGAGGTTCATCTTCGCTGGAGTCTTCTTCACTACTGCTGGGTTTGCTGAAACAGAAAAGTAAGTCTTCATTCCTGTAAAAATTCACTATATGATATATAACAGACAAAAGTGACACAAATTTCAGTCCCGTCTTGAAACAATTTCTCTCCTTCATAGAATTCAGGGAGAATTTTTCATCATCATAAAAATGTGTCGAATCGTCCCACATAATCCAAATTCAATAACGTTCGAAAAGGTTGGTTGTAGACTTTGGCACATGAGATAATTAATGAGGTTCTTTTACTATATTTCAGGTTTGAGTCAAATATCATGACAATATGTAGTTCAATTGAATAAACAATAGCAGGCCTAATTCCATAAAATAAATGTAATCTTATCAACCCACTGGTATATACTTAGACAGAACACATCCGTCCCACCGCAAATGCTTTCTGGAACTCCTAGACGGAACTGTTTCGTCCAGGGACATTGCCACTAGTTCCAACATTATTCCAAGGGATCGCAGCATTTGTCAGGTCAATTATTTTTTCTGTCTATTCACATTAGTTAGAAAAACCTACCCTTTGGTAGTAACAAAAGTCATCTTTTTCTGTCCAGGTGGTTCAGCAATTTTTTTAGGCAACTTTCCATTGACTTGTGGTGTCTTGGTGGGTGCTTCGTCTTCAGATTCTGAAAAAATATGAAGACAATTGGTTAACTTACAATTGTCGTCCTGTAATCCAGCTACTAGGAGGTCACGAATTGTGGATATTTATAGGCATGCACTGTGGATGCGATACTCTCTGGTGTGGATTAACGTCCGCACGAGTGAGTACTACGACTATCCGCAGTACTATCCTGATAGTTAGACCAATTCGTATATATCAAGGCAAAAATGTGGTTTGGATTCCACTATAAACTGTAGGTCCCTTAGTTGCCGTTAGCTGTATGGGCTATTAATTAACAGCTGTGTCTAAGGAATATGTCGGCCTTAGTCACTAACAAGACTACAAGATCGCGCCACTCATCCTACACTCATCTCCATTCATACTTGGCTTAAAATACCTACTTTGTATGGTCGCCATGTCATCGAAAAGTATTAAAGTACCGTATTAAAAAAGTATTGAAACTAATCAATAAATGATCAAATTATTGATAGTTAGGTATATCAATCACCGATGATAAATATTATATACATGAGATGAGCTATCACCGATCCTATTTAATTTTGCCATTGAAGAAGCTCTACGGAAGGTAGCAGAGAAGAACATAGGAGTGAAAATAGGAACCAAAATAAACTTCTTAGCCTTTGCAGATGATGTGGTTATAATCACAGAAAAACTAGAAGATCTGAAGGCCTTAACCGAAGTATTTATGAAAGAAACAGAAAAAGTAGGCCTAAAAACAAACTACCTATTCAAAAACTAAGTACATGCACTTTTCAAGAAACCTGGATAATACTGAAGAACCAATAGAAATTGATGGCCATACATTTGAAAAAGTCAACAGTTATAAATACCAAGGAGTAATTATATATCTAACCAAAATACTGATGAACTAAAGTAGTAGTAAGTAAGAAATAAATGCATTTTCCAAACTTGATCAAAATATGTTCATAAACAAGCAAACTACAACAGTTGACTTATTCTCCATAAAAATAACATGGGAATTTTAAATTTGTTTGAATGTTCTCCGTAACCATTAGGCGCATAATCAAGCTTCAATGTAGCCTACTAAATTATTATTTTTGAAGCTCTACAAAATAATTTTGAAAGATATTCAGGGTTCCCACTATTTGTCTTCCAAAAATTCACGGCGTTTTCACGGTTCACACGGTCTACTTTTATGAATTTCACGGTCTCCAAACAATGTTAGTTTTAATGTCAAAACTTTATGTAATGCCTTTTCTAACCAGTACACAAGTAAGGTTTTGTAGCCTACAATACGACACCATTATTAAATTTAACATTGCTTGGATGTATACATGTAGGAAAGCACAAGACCGTAAAATCCTTAAGGCCCATTCCACGAATAGAACGTTATAATGGGTCAGTCGGCGAAGAGCAAAGAAAGATACAAGAGATACAGGTAGAGAAATAAAGACAGAGCCATGGTGTTGAGAGGGAGGGTAGGGGGTGAATGAGAGGACAAAAACTTGGGGTTGAGGGGACAGAAAGGGAGAGGGGAGAGTGAGTGCGAGGGGGAGGAGAGAGAGAGAGAGAGAGAGAGAGAGAGAGACATCCCACTCACTGCTGGAAAACTATCACCATAAGATAAGAATATTTAGAACTTCAAGAATATATAGAAGTTCACATGAACTTTTACTTAATATAAGTAGGCTATTAGTTACAACAGATAGCTTCTCCAATCCTCGAATCCCCCGAGTCCAAAAAATAATTACAAATGGACTTTTTTATATGGTGATTAAATAAGCAAGAATGGAATAGGAAGCATTTAAAAATATATATTACACTAACCATAAATGACCACTCTTTGCAATGAAAAGTCACGTCTAGATCAAATTTTTTGACACACGGCAAAATAACCGACGACTAATCGGTTAATTTTTTTAACCTAAATCGAACGGTTGGTATAATTAATTTCGACGGCAAATATGCAATATTATTATTTGTTCTTAATGGTTGTTGTGGGTGCACTTGTTAATTTTAGGGGGGAGCGAACTGGTGTAGTGGTTAGAGTGCGGGACTTCACTCCCCGAGGTCCCGGGTTCGATCCCCGCCAAGTCACCAATGGATTTTATCTAAGTGATAATGCCGCAACCCCTAGGTCTAGCCTGAAGTAAAGTGAAAAACAATCCCAGGCTCGTGCCTAGCGTCCTAGGACAAAAAAAGCCTTTTAAGCTATGACCGATTAAAAAATATATTCCTAATATAAAATCATTGATTAAAAACGAGTATAAAAAAATTATTCTTACCTGAGCTTGACTCTGAGTCTGATTTTTTAGCCCCGGATCCTTTAATGCTGATTTTTTTCTTTGATGTGCTGAAAACAAGAATTAAATTATGAACATTTCACCAGGCGAGACCAGAGAAATGCTTGAATACATTTATATTTATTTACGCTTCATGTAAATGTCAATTTCTTAAATAGTGATAATAGCATTAGAAGAGGGTTTGAACTGTTAGTTACTAATATAGCCTAACTATTGAAAGATTATTTATTTTCAATGACAGTTGAGTTGAGATTAATACAAATTTGTTGTGACTTAAAGTGAAATATTTATTTATATTATTTAATTGATATATTTATTTATATTCTTTCAAAATGTAAGCATTAAAACCTTGGAAGCCCATGGGGCGTAGCCCAAGAAAATAAAATGATTTAATATTGCATTGTCATCCATTTGTGAGCTATGTTTCAAGTATCTAGCTCATCGGGAAGTTAGTTTAAAATTGATTGCCAAATTTATACCGAACAGATGAGAAAGCGAGATAATAAAAACATTTCAAAATAACATTTAAGTTAAAGTGAGATTTATTGAAAACGTGGTATTATGTAAAATTTGGAAATGTTCAATTATGTAAGGAACTTCACACAAAACAATCTGAGGAATTTGAATGATAAAGAACACTAGCCTACAATAACAATTAATAAGAGAACTTAACTAAGTTAGGATTCTAGAAAAAAGTGATAGTATAAACCATATAAAAACAAAAGTGCAGCAAGGTAGCACAAGTGTAATGTACAAAGAATCTTGGGAAACTTTACCTCTGAAAATGTTGGATGACATCCTCAAGCGATGGAGTACCCTTGGGCAAGACCGGCTAAAGGAACAACAAATTCATTTTAGTTCATTATATGTAAAACGAGGGATGAATGCTATGAACATTATCTTATAAGCCAGGTAACTTAATGTATAAGATATAAGGCTAAAAGTGGACAATTCCTGAATATAACAATCTATTGTAAGTTATAGACATTGGACTTCTCTTTTGTATGATTAGGCTATCTTACCCCCGTCTGAAGTCCAAAATTTTCATCCACAACCACAACCATCAATTCCTTGTCCAGTCTACTGCTGTCGCCGGGTTCGATCGGTTACAATTATGATGGCACTATAAATTTTCGTTCGGTTATGTCCATGTTGTGTTTTATGTATTTATACTTGAATAGATACAACTTCCGTATCGGCGTGGTGGGGCGATCTGATGTTCGAGTAAGAGGGAGAACTGCCAGGTTGACTACCTGACCAATAAGAGCAAGGAGAGCCTGACGCGGTTTCCATAGCAACAGGCGCTGTTGCCATATCGCACTGCATCTCCACGCCCGCACGCACATGTGCAGTTCCTCCAGTGTTATGACAGTGACTACTTCGAGTAAAGTATACTGTCCGCGAGAGTTTAGAAGTCCCCTAAGCTAGAAAAAAAACTTGTTGATGTTGGAATAGTCATCACATGTGTATTTCACAGTATATTTTGGTTTTACAACAGAAATGTCAGTAAATATCAAAGAGTGTTCCAAACATAGGGAATCATTTATTTTGGAACAAATGTTTCTATACTTCTACGTTGTTCTGTTTACAACACTTCCCTATCAGCAGATGTTCTCTATCTATCAACAGATAACACAAAATTACAGCACAGCACACAGTGTAGTAAGGTTGCGTGCGTTGTTGTAAGCTGGCGCGCATATTCTGTGAGGAAGTGGCAGTTCCCGCTCACTGCGACTAACAACGCGGCAACACCGCAACAGCAGTCTCCCCACTGCTCGCTACCCCTCCACACCTCTCCGATTCGGAAGTTGTATCTATTACAGTATAGTGTGATGTTTTGCTTGCATTTATAATATTGCGCTTACAACTAAACTAGCCAGAACCATAGTTGTTGATGAACATTTTGGACTACAGACTGAGGTAGGATAGCCTGGTTATATTCAAGAATGATAAAAACAGCCACATCCCATCAAAATTAAATTTAAGATTGATGTTTTTCCTAAATGTTAAAAATTCTATATAAAACCTACAAGTAAGCTATCTGGTATACTTTGGTGACTTACTAAGGTGTACATACTTAGGTACTGTGTGAGGGAAATCTGACCCTCACCCTTTCCTCAAATGGGAAATTATATTTAACATAACAAGAATAAGCTTAGTAGGCCTACACAATCCCAGCCAAAGCTGGAAAAAACATGATTAACAAAAACACCCACTTTGATTGTGTTTAACCAGTTTTGGCTGGATTTGTTTACTAACTTAAATACATTGCCCAATCAACCTAAAACTCACTTCCTGAAGTGTAAAATGAAGTTTTGGAGATAATAAGTAGGGGAAATTAAAGTCCCAAAAATTGACCGGAAAATAATAAACCTAACCTAATCAAAGTTCCTTTAAAACTTCAATATAAGTTACATATGTATATGCTAAGTATGACCGGACTTAAGGGAACTTTGGGGAGTTTACCCATATGACCCTTAAAACAAACATTTTTCAATTTTTTTCTAAACCATTTTGTAAATAGGCTAGTATAAAAAATTTAATTAAATTTTAACGTGACATCTGTGGTCGATATAATTACCAAAACCAATAGGCCTAGGTTTATAACTTACCAAATACTCAATAAAAAAAAAAATTCTTGTAGACCTGCAGTAAACTCTTCTTTGTTAGTTTCAGGTCAGATATATCCCTTTCTGATTCACACATATTGAAGTCTTTCAATGCTCCTCTTGCATGTAAATTTAACACAGGAAGATTCATAAAAGTCATCCCAATGCCAAAATACACCCGCTACAGCAAACCTGCTGACTAAGGCTACGGCCACACGGGCGTTTTTTCACGCGGTAAACTGTAGCTTATTTTCACGCTGCTTCAATTCCTGCTGTTGTATGCCACACATGCTTTTTTTCACGCAGTAAAATATAGCTCATTCTCACGCCGGTTTAAGTCCAGGAGCGGCGAAATGCAGTGGGAACCCGCAGTTTATTGACGAAATCACGTAATTATGTTATATATCTTCCTCATGGCCGGAATAGTAACCTTGTTTCTGACTAGTGGACAAGAAATATGAATGGTATATTTATTTCGATACGAAAACAACACTAAAATTATTTTATTTTGTAAACCTTTCATTTAATTATTTACATTTAGTATAAAAAATAAATAGGCTATAACATATTAATTTCGATACAACAGTAAAATTATTTTATTTTGACATTTAGTAAAAAAAAATATATAATATATATATTGTTATGACAAGTTTTCATCAGATCTTTGAATATTCTACTACATAAATGCATCTTTAAATTTTTTAGTCCAACTAAATGCCTTTCCTTTTAGTAACAAATTATTAAGTGGCCCAGTAAGATCGACCTATTTTTAAGATCCTACTAAGTGATTGGCTAGACCCAAAAATATTTTACGCTATCCTGGAAAAAATTAGATAGGCCTACATTTATCTTTATTTTAACTTGCTAGAATGACTTGATCAAAGCTGCGTGTTGCTCCCGCCCGTGTGGCCAGGGACAGAGCGTGAAAACAAGCTTCAAAAATGCACCCCAGTCCATTCTTCTGCGGGCCCGCGGCGGTCGATTTTGAAGACGCGCCTAATCTGCGTGAAAACACACTCCGTGTGGCATACCTCATTACATTTAATGCTGCCCATATTTCTCGCGTTTTTTCACGCTGCGTTCTTGCGGAAAAAAACGCTTGTGTGGCCGTAGCCTAAGTGAATTTCCGTTTTCCTGATTGAATTTATTCTCATTAATTAATCATTAATTTACTCTCATTGCAATATCTTCTTAGAAAGATGACAGTTATTCCCTATTTAAATAGCATTGCTTTAACGAGTAGGTTTAGGTTTGCTGTAACAGGGAGGGTAAAAAGGTATTTTTTTGTGAAATGTTATTACGTACTACTTAGTTTAGTATAAAAAAATAAACTTTCCAAAATTTATCAAAATATGTTCATAAACATGCAAATGACTATAGTTTACTTAAGTTAATTTCCACAAAAATAACATGGGAAATAAAAATACATGATAATAATTTAATTTTTAGCAATTTTCTATGTGATTATTAAGCACATAATTAACGCTTATATACTAAAATGAAGTTTAATGTTTTTAAGCTCTACAAAATGGTTTGAGATAAATTGCAAAATTTTACAATTAAAAAATTTTCAATTTAAAATTCCCATGTTATTCTTATGGAGAGTAAATAAACTGTTGTAGTTTGTTGTATGGATATACTTTAATCAAATTTGGCAATTTTGTTTAGGGTATTTCATACTAAGCTATCACATTTCATTAAAAACAGACCTCAATACCTTTCCTGTAGCAGCAAACCTAGGTACTCACTGAAATTAAAGTTATTTGCATAATAAATAAATCTGATAATTTTCAGGGTAGGCAATAGGCCTATTTAAGAAGAAATCCAGCCACGTAATGGAAATTCGCTTAGTCTGCAGGTTTGCTGCGGCAGGGGTATTTTAAGTTTAAATAGGAAAATCAAATTTTTACCACATAAAACCCTATTCTCATAGCTTAGTCCCATCACGCTGGTTTGCGAACTGGTTAGAATAAATGTAGTTTACACAAAATTTTGTCAAAATCGGATCATTTTTGCTCAAGTTATCGTGCTAACGGACACATACACATATATACAAATTTGAACGCATGGTGTTTTTGTCCTCTAGGGACCTTTAAAACGAAAAAGTTAATCGGTCCCAGGTCTAGGTCTTACCACAAGTACTACGATAATAGCTTTCTCTAGGTAGGAAATCGCTAACATGGATTAGTAAGAGACCCCAATAACTTAACCGTCCAACTGGCAATGGGTAAACTCTGTAATGGCAAGGCATTTTTGGTGATTTAGCAGTGAGTAATAATTTTTTTTTAAATTCATATTCAAACTCAACTGATAGAGCAAACCTATTGAACCATATAACCTATTGAGTTGTATTACATTCAACACATTCAGGGTCGGCCTAAGTCTTACTTTGAAATTGAACAACAATTACTAACAGTTAGGCTAAAGGTACAGTAGCCTATTTTCGTATTATACGGAGGCCACTTATTTTAGAGGTTTTATTTACCAGAGACCAATATTAACTACATAATTGGAAATTTAACATACTTTAATTGACTTACTGTTAAAATTTGACATGGTCATGAGTTCTAAAGGCAGCGATGTTAGCGAGGATTGAGTTGAATGCGTCGCCGCAGCTTCCACATGTACTCTGCCAAGTAGGTATACAGCGCTGTTATGTATAGGCGGTTATGTTAGGGTCAACATAAATAAATGTTTTTAGGACTTTCTTTGTTTTGTTATGAATCAAATGATACCAGATGAGTTATCAATCAGGACACTGACCTAACCTTGGCCCACTTGGAGGGAATTTGACGGGCAAAAGTATGACTCATCTGGTATCATTCGATTCAAAACAAAACAAGAAAAGTTCTACAAACATATTTATGATAATCCAACCTAACATAACCGCCGCAGCGCGCTGTATAAGGGTGGCCTCCGTAAGTACCCAGTTAAATAGGATTCATATTGTTAAAGTCAGTAACACTCGTGATATTCGTTGTTCGCAAACAGTGAAAAAAGTTCACAAAAAGCTGCTAAAAATAAGTAGGGTAGTGTCTCTAAGTTATGTCATATTTTCAGTCAAGGCACAATAATATCCAAGAACTAAAAATTTACAGTTTAGAGCCTATAATCATGATAGAAATTGAAAAGTAAAAACCAAAACTCAACTTGTTAGGCCTCGTTGTTGGTCAACCAGAGAATGAGGTTAGTTAGTTAGACAAACAGCCTGATTCAGAAATATAATTCTGTTATAATTATATTTCCGTAGAGGCCTATATTAGGTTAGTTTGGTTTCAGTTTGACTTGAGTAAGTTTGAAAAACATGTAGCCTATATGAATCTCGCTTGCAAGTTAAGGCCGTTTTTGATTTATTTAAGGGAACATTCATTATTATCGATGATTTCTTCATTTCTTTTCGATACATTGATATTTTTGTTTTCCTTTACGATCCATATTCAATCTGCTTTATTATCTTCAAACGCATTTAAAAATTACAGACAGACAGACATAGCAAATATGTCTAAGTTAAACTTGGTTCAATAACCGAGTTATTGTGTTATAGAGCTTGGTTTAAGAACTAATCTTGTTTAGGCAAAGATAATAGTCTATATTGGATTAAGAAATGGAACTATTCTAAACAAACATAACTTGCTGTAGGCTAAGTACCATTTCAAAATTCCGTTTGATAACAGAAAAGGCATACCTATGGGGAATAGGCTATCAAACGGAATTTCAAAATGTTAGCCTACAGAAAGTTTGGTTATAGTTAGGTCAGTAAAACAGTTTCATTTCAATATATATTTTTTTTTAAATTGTTTGTTGATAGGCTTAACTTACTGAACAATATTTATTTATCGTAGTTGTCAGCTGATAAGTTTCAATTTGTTAATATCAATATATCGAATGAAAAAATAAAATTACGATATAGGCTATCAAAAAGAAATCATTGATAATAATGAATGTTCCCTTTAACAGGAAAGTACCCATAGCTAACTTATCCACAAAAAAACATCAGCACCAGTGGTACAGTCTAAGACAAAAATAAGTTACCAACCACAATGCACATAATTAAATGGACTTTTGAATGAGAAAATTTATTATTTGGATAAGTTAATCATAAATTTCAGTAAATAAAATGTCATGACTGCGACTATTAGGCTATAGTTGCTCTGCCACTTCACGAGAACATGTAATGCCTAATTAATGATTTGTTTATTGTTATGAGATCATTAACTTATGTAATTAACTTGTATCGAAATGATTTTTGCACCATAATAGAAATTTGTTAGCCCTACTTATTACCCTACTGTACCATCCGTTTCTTTGTGGACAAGAAATAACTTACCCCTTCCTATGATTTTTTGAAACAGTAAAGTTAAGTTAAGTGACTGTGTTTGGCAGTTTTGTGATGCGGATGTTAGTGCAAAAACTTCCACTTCTTATTCAAACTTTCGTTGGAAATAGTATTTACAACTGGATTTCCTCAAAACTTTTGTTTAATTAGTGCTCAATAACAGTGATAGCTTTGTGAGATAAAGTTTGTCTATGTAACAAAATGCAAGTTAAGAATCTTAACTTATCTTCCAACAGTAGCCTAACTTATAACTTAACCATAACTTTACAAAACTATAGGCTACTATTTGCATCCACAACAGAAACAATCTAATATAGGCCTAATCGCGCTGCCAGTTGGAGGGTTAACACGTTCACTACCGAGCGACGCACATTTGCGTCAGTCCGGTCACTCCTACAGACCAAAAGGAATGATCATTAAACGTTGCTTACAGACCAAGTGATAACATTGCCGACAGACCAAAAGAGAAATATCGTTTAAATGGACTAATTGACTTCATATTAACCTTAAGTGAATTAGTAAGCAATAATAAGGCCTATTGTTTTTATTTATCGTTTTGAGCAAATTTTAAAACGCCGCATATACGCGTCGGTCAGTCTATTTAACGAAATCCAGTTTAAAAGATTACATTTTCGTTTCAATAGACCAGGCGACGCACGTAAGCATCGTTGTAAATTTTGTTGTTTCAAAGATTTTACACAATCAAATAAAGAAACTCCACTAAACACTTGCCAAAACTGCTAAGGTTATAACGTTTACATCTGTTTCTGTGATGTCGCGGAATACATAATGTAAACAACAATGTTGCCAACTGTTGTGTGACGTAACCAATCGTCTTATCCACAGACCAAGCGACTCACATTTGTGGCAGATATCCCTCTAGACCGATTCGATAAAATCAGGGGTTTAAAATAGACCGTTGCTAAGAAATACGCTGATTAATAACATTGAACACCGACACAACTGTGCGTCGTTAGTCTATTTCAATGTGACCAGCTGACGCAAATATCCGTCAGTGGTCTACTGTAAGAAATGAGTTGACGCACAATTGCGTCGCTGGTCTATGCGAACGTAAATTCCATATAATTGTGGTAGTCAACGTGTTAAAAGGGCAGTCAGTAGCCTAACTAAAGGCCCGAACAAACTGCCGCGGTATGCGGTACAGGTAAACCGCCAGGTATTTTAGAATAACAAAAGCTAATGGGAGCGCCCATACTAAGTTTTAGCGCAGTATGGTACACAGCCACCAGTGCAGTACAATTTAACTTACCCTCGTAGGCCTACCGCAAAAATTCTGCATGCCCTATTTTTAATGCACGGTCTTTCAGCAGTAGGGTACACATATTCTCAGTGTACTTAGAGCAGTTGTCAGTTGAATTAGCAGCATGCCTACAGATCGATTCATAGAAGTACCGCGTACAGCGAACCGTGCCAGTGTGGGCACCCTAACCTAGCATACATCTACCAGTGTATACATGAAGAGGCAGTATACCCATACCGCAGACCGCAGCAGTATGGGCAGGCCTTTAGTTAGGTTATTTCCTAAACTGCGCCTAGGTAGGTAGATGACGACTCCCTAGTCTTGAAGACTGCGGCGAAGAGGACACATGGTACAAGACAATAATAGGGATTATGAAGTGTACTTCAGGCAACGCAGGTGTTATTCCTTATAGACTAATAAGATGTAGGATAAATCAAGCTACCTATCTTAATATCATTTAGCCCTAGCTTGGCTTAGACCTTCTAAACCAATCCATAACCCTGAACAAATTAACCTTTAAATTAACCCTCCGAGTGTTATTTGTCGCTGCAGCGACTCATAAACACTGTTTACGGCGAAGGCTCTATGACTGACAAAATCGGATTGAACTGGATCGAGTAAGGTATCGGTTTATTTGACAGATTCAGAGCTTTCTCCGGAGGTCTGTCTCTAAGCGCTATTCATTTTAGTTCCGAAAATATTGTAGCAGACAGCTGACGTGCGTATTTGTAAACAGCTTGGTTAACCTCGGACCGATGACTGATGTGTTTTATTACGTTTATCATTGTTTTAGTGTTAAAAATCAAAAGTAGGCCTAGTGATACGTGGTGCATTATAAGAAGATTTAAGTGATTTTGAAGGGCTGGTTGATGATCCTGAAGAAGTAGGTAGTGATATTGATGTAAATTATCAGCCAGATTCCTAGCTATGGTTAGGCTATGCATTCTTAGCTAAACGCTATGTACTGAAATCTGTTTTTTGCCCAGAGGCCTAACTTATTTATTTGCAAATCTACTTCCTTATATTATTATATTTGTAATCCTCATAAAATTTAGAACGAAGTGGCTATTTTCAAATATTTATAGGCCTATAATTTATACAATTTCATTGAGTGCGAAACTTATTTTTCTTTTGAAAATTTTCCATAATTTTTTTTTAGCCTAGGCCTACCTAAAAAATTTTTTTGAAAAAAAAATTCCTTATGTTCTATGTATATTTAATATTGAATCCCATGATTTTCCAAACAAAATTGTAGGCCTATATAGAACAGTATAAGTTAATTAACACGTTCACTGCGGGCGTATCCGACCGCATACGGGCCGAGCACTGTTCAGTCGCTGCCGTAACCGATCGGATACGCTCGGCAATGCCTTTCGTATATCATCGTTTTTGCTCTAGCGTCGGTCGAAGGCAGACCAATTCCACGTTAGCGTGTAGTCGGTGACTTGCTTTTAGTTGTGTTGTAGGTTGGTAGTAAAATTTCCCCATAAAATCCCCGTCTGGCAAACTTAATAATCAACTTGTTTTCCCGTCTTTCTCCCTCCAATTGGCAATACGATGGGACCGGCTACGTTCCAAGCAGTGCTGCTATAAGTTAGGCTATGTGAGTGTTTAGCGAACTACGTCGACTCTTGTTATAAAACAGGACATCACCGCACGTTATTTGCTATTCGTCATACCGAAATATGAGAGCCAAACACCCGGCAATCGGGTTTGTTCGACGCTGCGGGCTGGGCTGCGCCGCGCTGAGGCTCCGCAGCGAACGTGTTAACATTGTTTTCAAGCTTCTCAGATCCGTTTTCATAAAACCTTGCAAATGAGCAAATAGCTTAATCCCTATATGGGAAATTCGCTAAAAATAGGCAGACATTAACCCTTTGAGTGCCAACGTCCGGGGAACCGGACGTTTTTAAAACAAGCCAAAAGTGCCAACGTCCGGCCGACCGGACGTTTTTAGAACGAGCCAAAAGTGCCAACGTCCGGCTGACCGGACGTTTCGTAATGATCGAACAGCTGTCATAACAACCGAATAAATACTCGGATTCTTTTAACCCATATATTAACATTGAGTCGAAAGTTGCTAGATGCGATACATCGATTTTCGTTGGTCGAAATATCGAAAATTCGATTTTTACGAAATTTTAACCTAAAAATCGCCAGATCGCGCTCGGCATTTTTAGCGCGACCTTCGGGAAAAATCATCGGCATTTTTTGAGCGTTACTTTTATTTCTCGCCTGGCACTCTAAGGGTTAAGGCCAAAACAAGGGACACTCGACGGGTTAAAAGTCCTTAATTAAGGTTTAAGTATGAACATTTACCGTTATGCTAAAACAAGATCTAAGCTAAATTATACTCGTAATTCAATGACAACTAAAACGTGTTTACCACACACGTGGTGCAGTGAAAGAGGTCTGCTCCACAAACAATACTAGAACTAAAACTTACAACTAAGTCACATTATTACAATAAGGCATATAACGTGTTAATGTACTTACAGCTTTAGCTTTCTTCTGGAATATCTGTCCTAGATTAAGATGATTCCTGAGTAAGTAATCATGCACTAAAGCTAGGACTGCCGGATCATTTGCACCCGCCATCTTGACAACGCACGAAAAGGAAGGTTAGCCGGAGCCGGGGCCGGGAGCCGTTCGGTGAGACAAGAGGAAGAGTGGGAGGAGATGTAGTGGGAGTTAGTCAGTGCTTCCAACGTACAACAACAATGTTATACTGTATTACATCTAGATTACTATCTATATATTAATAGGCAAGCTTGTTTCTTTAAAACCTGTTTCAGCTCGTGTGCATCGCAGGGAAAATCTAATCTACATTTACGGTCAGAAAAATATTTTCCTGTAGATGCGTAGAATCTCTTTATAAATTAAAATAAGCTAAAAAAAGCACAACAAATGAACTTAACAGTGTTGGGTGAAAAGAGAGAATTCTAAAACATTAAACATTTTTGTCGAGCATTTTGACCACAGGACGATCTCTAGTAGAACATTATTTTATTCAGTGGTGGATTATGAACTAGCCTTGACCTAGGCACATTTTGTAAACTTGCCCCCATGCATGTCATTTTAGACTTTTAACTGGGGTGGCAAGATCAACCGGGGGAAATGTAAAGAAACTGACTCTAAATTTGTTAGTTTAAAGCTTCTTTTTCAAACTATTTTTACAACAATTTTATTTTTATTTTCTGTCTGCGGCCCCCTGAGACCTGCGGCCCCTAGGCAGTTGCCTATCGTGCCTAATGGGTAATCCGCCACTGAACTTTTATTAAATTAAATGTTTTATTAAATTAAATAGGGATGCAGCTGATCAGCTGATCAGTTGACCAATTTAATTGTTGATCCGACTTGTTCATGTTGATACTCGCGTATTCTTAATTAAGTTGGTGTAAGTCCAAAAATAAATGAAATATTTGCCGAATTGTAGGCTACCTGATACAATATTATTTATGGTAAGAATGCTGCTAGCAATGTAATATTTAACGAAGTTTAACAAACACGTAATTACAGGAAATCAGCTGATTATACAACAAGTCGTTGCATCACTTCCAGTGGCAATGACAATACACGAAAACATAACCTCTCTAAAAAGTTATCAGTAGTGATTGTTAGTAATTAAATCCAGATTGATAGTAATTAAAAAACGGTCGTAGGTAAAGTAGTGTACGTAACTCGCGTTAATAGTCTTTACGACACTCGTAGAAGTTTTTCTACTCGTGTAGTAAAGAGTCACTTAACGCATTCGTTGCGTAAACTACTATTGCCGTATTTTTAACTGTTAGTATTTATAACATAAGAGTTTTATAGGTACTGTTAAAAATACTAATGCAATATTTGAACAGTATAGTGATAATGCACGGCCACCTTTAACTCCAGGCCGCGGCCTGGTAGAATTGGCAACGTCGCAAGTAGGGTTGTTTAGTGTCAGACGTCCCTTAAGATAACATGGCAGACAACCGGTCACCAAAAAGAAAGTTTTAGGTGGCAGGTTGGCGTGGTGGTTCCTTGTCGGGGTGGCACCTAGACATGAACATGCATGACAACCCACCACCTCGGATACATGTGTGGTGGCACGTTTGTCGGGGTGGCGTCATTGAGGACAAGCTGTAGAGTGTGCCTGGCCTGTATACTGAATGTTGTTCGAAGGAAAATGTTAAATAATAAATAAAAGTGTTAATGATATGTTTCATTTAATCAGATTTTTTTTTTAATTTACGTGTACGTAACGTAACAACTTAAATGGCCACCATTTTGAAACCCAAAAATATTTTTTCTTGCTATTTCAAATCGTACACCAAATTTCCAAAGACATTTTTTTTTTAAACAATTATATATTTTGAATAAAAATTACCCCCACTGCAGCATACCTGCAGAAAAGGGAATTTCCTAATGTCTGTTTCGATTTTGACTAAACTATTTCCTTTCCAAACATGTTTACATTTATTCCATACGAGTTCTTTTGGTTTTGCTGCTACAGGGAAGGGGAAAAGTGGAGATATAGTGTTAATAGTATAGTATGAAATAAATAAATTTAAACCCGATTATGTATTTATTATGTATGTATTAACACGCAAACTACGTGAGTTTGCTTTTCCCCATGAATAACATGGGGAGTTTAATTTAGCCTACAGTGTTTTGGGATTTTCTCTTTAACCTTTAATCGTAAAACAACGCTTTGGTGGTCAAACCTTTTTGTTCTTTATGGTCTATACACGATGAATGCAATGGAAAATGGGTGTTTTCATCTTTTTAAGTGCCAACATAAGCTGGAGTTTGAATCATTGAAATATGTTTTTCCAAAAGTAGGCCGTTGGAGGCCTATATTATCATTAAAATAATTATTCTTAAAAAAACTACATTTAACCATAAACTTTGTGTTACATGCTAGCTAATTAAGTTATTTAAGAAAACAATTTACATTGTCAACATTTCAACGTCCTTCACATTAAGATAAATCAGCTCTGAACCATGAAACTCAGATACTACTCAGGTACCGTACTTAAGTCTAAACAAACCTTATATCAGGCCTGAACTAGTACTAAACAATGACTAAACCTAGTATAACTAAACTAGTTCAAATAGCCTACCAGAACTAAACCTAAACCTACCACTACTAATACTAACTACTAACTAAACCTACTACTACACTACTACTAACTAAACCTACCAGAAATTCCAGGGTAGGCTTGTGAGGTAAGTTTCACAGACTGACTGTGACTGTGATGTGAATTTGTGTGTACTTCTTCACACAAATTTTACACAAATTTCACACAATTTTATCATGATATTTGTGTGAAATGTGTGAAAATTGTGTGAAATTTGTGTAAAATTTGTGTGAAGAAGTACACACAAATTCACATCACAGTCACAGTCAGTTGTTGTATACACTGTGTCGTGACTGATGTGATTGAACTGTGACGTGTTATGTGTGAATCGACTTTTATGTTGTCAAATACAACAGCTGGTTTCTTCTCAACGATATTTGTTTTATTTTTCAAACACCTGCTTGATGACAACGTATGTGTTTGTATACTAAGCACTGTTTATAACAATCAACAAAAATGGACTATAACGTTTGATAGAATATTGCATTTTAATTAAAAAATAAATGTAACATCAGTAAATAAAGAGTCGGAAAACTGACTGTAACCAATTGATTGACAGGTTGATTGATAAGTTACGGGTGCAATTGAGATTGAACTGTGATTGTATTATGATAACATAAATTTCCTAATAATATCTAAACAGGGTGATTTAAATTTAAAACATGTATACAGGGTGGAGCGAAGTTAGTGTTAAAAATTTTATGTGTTAAACTACTTAGTATTGGTGACAAAATGGCACCAATTTAAGTTTCCATACCCTCACAGGTATATAGGGAATAACGGACAATTTAAGATTTTTTCAAAATATTTGTATTTGCTTACATAAAAGGGCCATAAGTGCACTAAACATTGTTTTTATTCCGAATTCATTGTCATTTTTAGAATCCTCGTTAAATTTACAATATTAATAGTACAAATTCATTGAGATGAAACATCTGCATAAGCACTTATTTTGCATTGGAAGTTTGAATTTGTGATTTTTTTGAAAGAAGTAATAACTTTTTCCAAAGTTTTTCTATACTACACTGGACTCTAGAGAGTGTCAATTATTACTAAAAACTTTTGCAGTTAATAACCTTTAAAATGATGTATAAACATCTACTGTTCGTTTGATTTGTCGTTCTCAAATTTAAGAGTTTCTCTTGAAAAACACGGAACGGCTAATGTTTAATTTCCTGTTAAAAAAAAACATGTATTGGCTTCAATGATATGGCAGCAGCTCCTTTAAAAATCATGTTTAAATGGGTATTATTGCAATTTTCAAAATCCTTGTAAAATGCCTAATATATTGAGGAATTGTTAGGATTACCACTTTATAAACCTATGTTTTGTGATGTATCTTCATTTAGGGTTTTTTCTTATTTCTGGCATAGCTTGAATATCGTTTACGGTGTTAGTGCCATGTACATTCAACCGATGTGCGAGATTGACTTAATTCAAAATACACAACTTAAATGATAACAATGATAAAGATGAGTCATATGGTGTGGTTTGCTGGCATGCCAGGTCACCAGACCTTAAGTCCACTGGACTTGTTTTGTGTGGCTATGTGGAGTACATGGTCTCGTCATCTTTAGTGGAAGAGAATACGGAAATTTACAACTGGATAATGAATGCAGATGTGCTAGTCAGAGGAACGTTGTATTTTAATGTTACTGTTGGTGCCACTTGTCAAAAAAAACTTGGCTGTATATCAGGGAAAATAAAGGAGATATTGAAAAAAAAAAACTCAAGTAGTTGTCATCAAATAGAAGGCAACTATTAAAACGTTAAGGAAGTAAGGAACCGTTTTTAAGTTTCGAATATTGTGTGTTTTAGAATTAACTTTTATTTTTTTGTGTAAATAAGTTAAAATACGTATTTCTGAGGTTTTAACAATTATTTTAGTAAAGAAATATATCACTAGGCTTAGTTATTTCCATTAGCATGTGTCTAAGAACTACAATCAATCAATTGCTATACTTTACTTAGGCTAATTTTGGGGTTTCGGTGAACATATTGACAACATTGTAAAAAGTAGTATCTACATAATTTTAGAGGTTACTCCATTGGAAGTATTTGTTTATGCTTAGAAAAAAATCTTAAGTTAAATGTACCATGTGTAACTTTAAACAATATTCAATGTATTCAAAAAATAAAAATTAAACTAGTTTAAAAATTTTGTCACAAAACATACGTTTATATGGATGTTAATCCTAATAGATCTTTTATAGTCTTATAATAAATCTCACAAGGATTCTAAAAATTACAATAATTCCTATTCAAATATAATTGTTATTGCAGCTATTGCCATATTATTTAAGCAAATACATGTTATTTTAAAGGGAGGCGATTTTGGCCATTCCGTGTTTTTCAAGAGAAACTCTTAAATTTGAGAACGACAAATCAAACGAACAGTAGATATTTATACACCATTTTAAAGGTTATTAACTGCTAATTTTTTTAGTAATAATTGACACTCTCTAGAGTCCAGCGTAGTATAGAAAAACTTTGGAAAAAGTTATTATTTTTTTCTAAAAAGTCACAAATTCAAAC